TGTAGGGGCCTTTATAATCAGAATAGTTTGGGTTTGAGGTGTTGCGGACTGAACCTCGGGGCAAGCAAAGAGACGCAGAGTGACAGGTGCACCCTCATGAACAAGACCTCTCAGAGCAAATCAAGCTTGTCAATGATACGACTAACACATTGGATCATGGCACCGAATTCCTGGTGCCACTGATTTAGAGTAGCTACAGAAATGTCATGCGGAGTAGGACATCTAATATAGGGGCTTTAATAATTAGAATAGGGTTTGGGGGTTCCAATATACTGTGATTATAATAAAGGAACCTCAAAATAGTATGAGAGGAAAGAGGCAGAAACTTGGCGCGATGCACACAGGGCTCCTCAGAGCGCCAGTGCGGTGCAAGATTGGGTTTAGGGTTTAAGGAGATCCAAACACAACTAAAACGTAATAGACCCAAAGTGAACTCTGAACCTGACCCTCTGGATAGTTAACAGAGGGTCCAGGCGCCACAGCCATAGGCATCGATGTGAAATCGGCTGCCGCTGCCAGCACCTGCCGGCCGGGTTGAGTCCAAATGCTTCAGGGTTTAGGGTTAAGGGTTTATAGGGTTTAGGGTTTATAGGATTTAGGGCATGGCTTTTGATTCAATCGTTTAGGGCTTAGGGTTGAAGCTGAAGAGCTTGAGTGGAAGGCTCGGCTCTGAGGAGAACTTCCTTTGGAAATGCCCATGATTGAAAGAGGTCTAGCGATTAGGTTTTAGGGTTTAGGGTTTGGGGGAGAAGGACAGCAAGCATGTAGAGGGAAGTCAAATGACCACGGTCGGCGTGCTAAGGGATTCGGGTCTTCAGGGGTGTGGATAGGATCTCGTTGTCTTGCTGGGCAGCTGGGGTTCTGGAAGTTGCAGTGCCTGGCTCATATGGGCACTTGCAAGCGTCTCCTCTTGCTAAAGCTCCCGCTGTTCAAAGCCCCCTAAACCCTAAACCCTAAACCCCTAAACCCTAAACCCCTAACCCCTAAATCCTAAACCCCTAAACCCTGAACCCCTAAACCCTAAACAAACCGTGTGCACCGAGGGCCCCGCATAATCTTCGGTTCATAAACGCTAAGAACTGAAGTCCCTGATCCCAAATCCTTCGCAACTTTGGGGTTCCTGGGTTTAGGGTTTTATGGCTTAGGGTTTAGGGCTTTAGGGTTTAGGGTTTATGGTTTAGGGTTTAGGGTTTTAGGGTTTAGGGTTTATGGCTTAGGGTTTTAGGGTTTAGGGTTCTTGACTCCAAACCTCTCAAAGCGCAGCAATGGAAACTCAAAGTCCCGAACCCGGTACAACCTCTGTAAACCCCAAACCTCTCAACCCCTGCTGCCCCACACCCTAAACCCGAATGTAAGGGCCTGAAGAATGATTGCCAGTACAATCCCTCAGGGTTCGTTTAAAGCAGAGTACTACAATCCACCCGCAAGACCTAATGGCCCTACTCCGGTTATTGCAGCCTTTGCATTCAACCCTGGGAGTAGCCCCCTAAACCCTAAACCCACTACAGACCCCCGAAAGCCTTGATACGGGAACCCTATTCTCTCATTCAACACATGGCCTCCAATAAGTAACCAACCGCGCGTGACTGTCGCCAGGGCTTTTGCCAGTCCTCCAGCTCAGGATTCCAATATTCGGGCAATAGAGCTTACGGTCTGATAGTAGAAGCCCAAAAGTTGGAAACCCAATAGCCTCAACCCTTAAGAGTAATGTATAGGGAATCCCAGCACTATTTGTCCTTAATCCGGTTTCCAACTTTTTCGGGTTTGCCATAATTCTGAGGCTGAAGGATTCCAAGGTTAAGATTTCAAAGGCTCGGAAGACGGAGGAGTTGAGGACGAATGGTCCGATTTCCTCAAATGATTGCCCTGACCCCCCAGGTACCTACTTATGGAGGTACTAGAGCCCCTAAGGGCCCTATATAGTAGGTACCTGGGGGGTTATAGGGTTGTATGACAACCTCCGGCCCTGGATCTTTCTGTCAGATCCAGCCAGGAGGCCCCTAAACCCCAAACCCTAAACCCCTAAACCCCTAAACCCTAAACCCAGGTCGTCGTCCCTACATCCCTAACCTCGACACGACTGCACCTCGGCACTGCCGTGCCAAGTCGGGCGCAGCGCTGAGCTGCGGCGGCCGCAGCGCTCGCAGAGCCAGGGGCGGCTTGGGGTCAAAGAGATAGAGAGACTCCTGGTCGGAGATTTGGGGCTTCGGGTTTAGGGTTTGGGGTTTAGGGGTTGGGGTTTAGGGTTTAGGGTTTGGGGTTAGGGTTTAGGGTTTAGGGTTTAGGGTTTAGGTCTAACTAGGGGTTTAGGGTTTAGGGGTTTAGGTTCAGGAGGTTGATATGGAGGCCGTGGTTCGAACGGGGTTTTAAGGTAGCGTAAAGAATAAATGTTCAAGGACACTATGCAGAAGGATACCGTTACCAAAGCCTAAACCCTAAACCCTAAACCCTTACCAATATATATATATATATATATGTATAAATAGATAAATAAATAAATATATATATATATATATATATATTTATTTATTTATTTATTTGTTTATATTTATTTATGTATTCATTATTTATTTTGTTATATGTATATATATACCGACCCTCATATTCGTGCAGTCTGGCACTCGGGGTTCAGGAGCCTGGGACTCGGGGGCTTATGATTTATGAGTTACTTTAAGCCCTGATAACCTACATTTTTAACGACTTATGTAAAGAAATCATATAATAATAAGGAGGCCTGAAAAGGAAGGTTATTTGGGGTTCAGGTAGGGTTCAGGGATTTGGGGTTGGAGGTGCAAGGGTGTCTGGGTTAGGGGTACCAGAGCTGTGCGTGCTCTACTACCATGCCTATACTCGCAAAGAAGAAACCCTGCTCTTGCTGCCAGACCGACAAGCACAAACCGATTCAGAGCCCATTCCGAAGCCCAGCTCCACCGCCTGAACTCCATTCCGCCGAACTCCTCCCCCAGCAACCCGCCGAGCACCAAATCCTGAAACCCCTGCTAGAGAAAGATGACAAAGCGGCTCCGCATCCCAGCGCGGCGGCAAAAAGTCAGCATTGCTCGCTGCATAATGCAGGAAGTCCCTCAACCGCATCCGGAAGACCTGGAAACTCAAGGTGTGCTTGGCTCTTTGTAAAGCAGCAGCCATAAAGCTTAAACCACAAATCCCTGAACCTCCGAGCAAGTCTGATAGCAATATCGCCGATTTGCCAGCCTGTACCCCGCCACAAAAAAAACAGGGGCACGACTAAATCAGCACTGAAGCACCCAACCCAACCCAACCCAGGCAGAACCCCACCATGCCACGCAGCCTGTGTGGGTTTAGGTTTCAGTGTTTCGGGATAAGCCCCCAGCCCAACCCTACAGATCCCTGATAGAACCCAAGAGTCGTTCGGAACCCTCTAGAGCCCTGTCAAACTCCACGAAACAAACCTTTGGAGTTCTTATAGGACCTCTTTAGAACCCAGAACTCTGATAACCCCTATCACACCTTATAGCTGCATAGATTCCTTCTGGAATCCTTTAGAACTTTACACATAACTAGCAGCTCTGCCAAAAAAAAAAAAAAGGCACCAAAAATAGCCCCCGCCTGACCGGCACCAGGCAGCGTCACGTCGAAGCTTCGGCCGGCGAAGCGGCGGCCGAGCCCTTGGCCGGTCCAAGATCCAGGCCAGCCGGCGAAGAGACCGGCAAGCCTCGGCTGAAGAGGATTTCTATATGGGAGTTTCCGAAAATTAGGGTACCTTATTCTGTGGTCCTTATAATAAGGATCCTACTATTTAGGGTACTATATTAGGGTCCCCTATTTTCGGAAACCCCCATATAGTGTCTTTATAGCATAATATTATAGTACATGCTATATAATAGGTTGTAGCATCATATTATAGTACATGCTATATGATAGGTTATAGCATAATGTTATAGTACATGCTAGGTGATAGGCTGTAGTATGTCATGGGTGGGGTTTGCCTAGGGATCTTGGGTTTTTAGTCAGGGCTTGACTTGCTTATAGGGTTTAGGGCTTTCGGGTTTGTAGGGCTGGGGGATTCTGCTGACATTCCAATTGCGTTTTTACGGCTTAGGGTTTTATAGGGTTACGCTTATGTCTTTGACCTGATTTTTGCAGGGTTTAAAGGGCAAGCCTAGTAGCCTTGGGTTCTAATCTAGGGTATCTCCACAGAGCCGTTCAAGCATAGCTGAAGGGCATCCCTGTTCCTTTGCACTCTTGAGAATTCTGCAAGTGTTCCATAAGAGTTGAGTGCAAGCCTTGGGTTTCGAGATTTATTGACAATCGTCTTCCTTAGGGGTCTTCCTAGGGCGAGCCGCGGGAGGGGGGGTCCTCTTGTATAAGGGTTGATACAAAGCGTTGTTATTCAGAGGGTTCTAGATTGTTTTGGATTTAGGGTTTTCATACTGCACATTGAATGGAATTCCTAAGGCTCGTGATAGATATGTTTGAACCTATTCTTGTCAGTTAACTTTCTGGAAAATTCCACATGGCTTAATGACACAGGGGCTCTAAGCCCAGCTTCAGCTTTCATTTAGGGCGTTTCGCGCTTTGGGGTTTTGAGCCAGGCGTCTACTACGCCTTCTGGCAGCCACTGCTGCTGCTGCTGCTGCTACTACTAAGTACT